TCATCAGTAACCCCCCAAAAAATTCCAAAATAATGTTAATTGTTCACTAAAGATCTCCTTCTAGCCTGGAGGTTCCCAATGGTGGTACATCTGTACTGTGCCCCACATTACTTTGCAAAACAAAATTTTTCACTCTGGTGGTCCACTTGGTGGCACAACATATGGATTTCTGGTGGGCAATAAACTAGATATTTCTTCAAACTTTGGTTTATTTTTAAGTAAGATTACGGTCGCTGACCAATCTTGAGATGTGGGGCCCATATAGAGATATTGTCCAATAATTGGAACCTTCTAGATCCTCGTTTAAGAATTATATAAATGTATATCTTGCCAATTAGGTTCTGTTTGTCTACTATTTTTGTTATGAGTCACAAACTGATCTCCCTCTCATCTGATACAATATGGTATAAATGTTATTATTTTACCCAATAAAACTTTTGTGTTCTATTTTTCAAATGAATGTCTTAGTAAATTAATTCCTCAATTTTTTCCCCAGTGTGACCGCAGAAAAGTGGGTTCCTATGATCGAAGTCCCAGTGGATAGTTTGAAGGTTTTCCTTGAGAGAAAGAAACGAGAAGGCTTCTCAATTTTGGGACTAGAGCAAACTGCAAATAGCATACCTCTGGACCAGCATATCTTTCCTAAAAAGACGGTGTGTTACTCTGTGAACCCAGTCTTTCATTTTAATTTGCTGACTGTCATTGCATTGCATTTGGGAAAGTCCAGTTCACCATATTGCAATGCATGATATATAACCTTTTTTTTTCTTCTTCTGTGTATTTACAATATCATTGTGGTGCTTGTACACCCTTAACCTGAAAAAAATAATAGAGAACCTAGTTGCAGCAGTATATACAATATCATTCTGGATATTACAACCATAGTGTATATAATTTCCCAAAAGCTATTTGTTCTTTCTATTGTTATCCTTTTCTTCTTCTCAGTTGCATTGTAATATCAAGGGTCATGGCAGCTATTTATTCAATGGAATTTGTAAAAGGTGTTTCATTTCCATCATGAGACATTGTTGCTTTACTCATTTGCATCCATTGGACAGGTACTGGTCCTTGGGCGTGAAAAGGAAGGTATACCGGTGGATATCATACATGTTCTGGATGCTTGCCTTGAGATTCCACAGTTGGGAGTTGTTAGATCTCTTAACGTTCATGTCAGCGGCGCCATTGCTCTGTGGGAGTACACTCGACAGCAGAGATCCCAATAGGATTTTGTTTCTAAAAGCCATTCGTGCTCTGTTTGGTTATACACAAGGAAAACCTGTTCAACCCAAGACTTGAGCAGCTTTTAACAGTCAATTTTGCAACACAGAATTCAGAGGCAGTTGTCTCATTGTTAACAAAAAAATGTTGTTCATGGGAAGAAAAAAGGAATTCAAAGACGGGATGCAAAGGGGGGACAAATTAGCATGGAAAATGGTCAAGAACTGCTTATATTGAGTGGTTAAAGAATGGGAGGAATGTGATGTGTTAAAACGCATGAATCTGTAGCTCTTCGGCTGCTCACTCATTGTACCAAATTTTTCTGCCATGGGAGATTCCATGAGGTTCTTTACACCCTTGAGTAAATCCTGAAAAATCATTACTTAGTTTATCAACCCTGAAAAATCATTACCTAGTTTATTGTGAATTCTTATCTCCTCTAAACCCTAACTTACATCCAAGAAACTTGTCTACGGTAAGAAAGTACTAGTTGTGACACAAAAAAAGATAAAGAAAAGGAAGGTACCTGGGCATTAGATTGTAGACTATTGGTATTGTTAGGCCTTGGATTTAAGGCTGTGGAAGCAGCTGGTGCTGATCTAGTAGCTCTCCTACTAATGTACCCTCTTCCATCAGCACCACGCCTGTAATGAACAACCTCTCTCTTGATGGTGTGATGAATATGATGATGGTTATTGTGATGGTGATGGTGACGGTGATTTGAGAACGTCCTCCTCTTCAGTTTTTCCACGTACACTCACCAATAGGCCTCATCATTTGGCCCGCGGGCTCATGGGCCGAGGGGGCTCGCCCGGTCCATTGGGAAATAGCCCGGCTCGGCCCGTTATGGGCTTTGGGATGGCCCGGCCCGCATTGGGCTGGGTTGGGCTTGGGCTTAGATGTCTGAAGCCCAGCCTGGCTCATAGGCCCAGCCCGGTTAAGCCCAAGAAAGCCTGGCCTTGCCCGCTCACAAAAGCCCGGCCCATTAGGGCCGCATACATATATAATTATGTATAAATAAGGGATTAGGATTATATCACTTGAATCACAATCCACCCTCTTTCATTTTTGTGTGTGTGTGTTACTTGTTTGAAACGTTGTGTTTGTTTCCACTGAATTCTGCTCATTTTTTTTATATATTTTTTACATTTGGTCCCCGTATTGTTCTTCATTTTTTTGTACTGAATCCGACCATATAAAGAACACAAAATTTGCATAAAGAGTTGAAAAGTTATAGGTCAAAAATTGGACAGATGTCGAAATTGAAAACCAGAGGAAGTTCATAATTCGTCTCGTGATAAACTGGTGCTACCAGGGTGATACAGTGGCGATAAATGAGTTATAGAAATTGTTGTTTGTGTTTATTTTGGGTTTCTTATTTTGTTTCATTTACTTTTCTTTACTCATTCCTAGTTTATAATTGGATGATTAACACATTAATTTGTGTCAATTATTAATACAACAATTATATATATCAAGAATAAGACGAATAACATATCATATCACCAAACATAGTCATACCACCAAATATAATCATGCTTTTCTTGAACCCATCACCAAGCATTTGCATATTTATTCATACCATTCTTTTTAAAAAAAAAAATATTTTTTTGATACTTATTATTTTTTTAAATTATTTCTTAAAACGTGTTACGATCTAATTATGATGCAGTTGAGTGCCTCTTTTTGAATGACACATTGTTTCTTTTTCCTCTTCTTCTTCTTATTCTTCTTTTTGAATGAAGTAGGCCCATTTCGGCTCGGCTCGTTGGGCTTAGCCTAGCCCTGCGGCCCGATGTGCTTTCTCAAGGTCGGCCCATGAGTCGGGCCTGGGCTTTGAATTTTCTAAAAAAACTCAGCCTGACCCGACTCATTATTTTCTCTCTTCTCTTTGAAGCTCGGTCCAACCCAACCCAAGCCAATTAAATTGATGAGCCCTAGTCACCAACACCTCTTTCTCTTTGCAGCATGTTCCCTGAAATTCAAGTGATCAATATTAGGTTAAGTGGTATTTCTCATTCTCTTTTAAGAATAAAATCTCTCGTACCATCGGGTTTACTTCAAAAAAACACAACAACAAAAAAGGTGCCAAGGCGTATAAACTACCAATCGGTTTTTATATTGAAAAATCCAAAAATCGTTAAAAAAAATTGCCCGAACAGGTTCTGAATCGGATTGGACCGGTTTTAATTATATTTAAACCGGCAAAAACCAGACCGACCTAAATATTTTTATTATATTATTAAAAAATCATTAATACACGTGTCAGCGGATGATTCATCAATTTTATGCCATTTCTACTCCTTGCCACACTCGATCCGGCGAAACCTTAAACATTTGAGGGGCTTCAATTTTTTTGTCATTCCGCCTTTGCCTCTCTCACTCAATCTCTCTCACTCTCAACCTCCTCTCCTTAAATCCGCCCCCAAGTTCTTCCAGATTTATCTATCTCTCTCTCTCTCTCTCTCTCTCTCTCTCTCTCTCTCTCTCTCTCTCTCTCTCTCTCTCTCTCTCTCTCTCTCTCTCTCTCTCTCTCTCTCTCTCTCTCTCTCTCTCTCTCTCTCTCTCTCTCTCTCTCTCTCTCTCTCTCTCTCTCTCTCTCTCTCTCTCTCTCTCTCTCTCTCTCTCTCTCTCTCTCTCTCTCTCTCTCTCTCTCTCTCTCTCTCTCTCTCTCTCTCTCTCTCTCTCTCTCTCTCTCTCTCTCTCTCTCTCTCTCTCTCTCTCTCTCTCTCTCTCTCTCTCTCTCTCTCTCTCTCTCTCTCTCTCTCTCTCTCTCTCTCTCTCTCTCTCTCTCTCTCTCTCTCTCTCTCTCTCTCTCTCTCTCTCTCTCTCTCTCTCTCTCTCTCTCTCTCTCTCTCTCTCTCTCTCTCTCTCTCTCTCTCTCTCTCTCTCTCTCTCTCTCTCTCTCTCTCTCTCTCTCTCTCTCTCTCTCTCTCTCTCTCTCTCTCTCTCTCTCTCTCTCTCTCTCTCTCTCTCTCTCTCTCTCTCTCTCTCTCTCTCTCTCTCTCTCTCTCTCTCTCTCTCTCTCTCTCTCTCTCTCTCTCTCTCTCTCTCTCTCTCTCATATTTGCAAAACCTTGTTGTATGACATTCTGTTTAAGTATGCTCTTCATCAATTCATGGGTCTTTCTTGATTTTTAGATTTCTGCATATTTGTCTTTTGGTTTTGATGTGTTATGCGTATTTGACTATGAGAATTCCCAGGCTCATGTATGTGTACTGCTTTTTTTTTTGGGTGAGACCCAAGGGTATTCACCGCCGACAGCAGTGACTAATCCCTTTTGCCGCGGGAGCTCTCCCAATGGAGGTAAACGGCTGGCCACGAAATGCGCTCCATTCCCATGGGCAAGGATCGAACCCCCAACCTCATGGTTAAGGAATGAAGTGAACTACCACCACACCACATCTCATGGTTTATGTGTACTGCTTTCGATGATAGACCATAATATAGGTTGCTGGGAATTGGGAATATTGATAGTTAATTTCAACATATATATTCCAACTTCTGTCAACAAAAAAAAAAAGAGTATTTGTCAACTTGTGCAAATAGAAAAGAAAAGCATTAGATAAGATAAATCTGGATGTTTATAAGAGCATGTCCTTAAGTGGCTTGAATTAAACGGGGAAAAAACCCCGAAAGATAAAATCAATGAGCAGTGAGCACAAAATTGAAACCATATATTTCGTATTATTTGTGACCCACTATCTATAATAATTTATATGTTGTGTAACGTTATTATTATTTTAATTTTTGCTTTAGTATGTTTTATTTTGTTATTTTGACCTCCACCTAAAAATAAAATAAACAATTGATTCCATTCCACTTCTTCTCTAACCCTAGAAAATCACCCTCCCCTCACATGTCCTCTGTCTCTCCCTCTTTCTCTTGCCGCCACCAGGAAAAATCCCTTTTCGGCATCGCCTCCACCAAATACGTCATTGCCCTCATCTACCGACAGCATCTCTCTCTCAACCTGTTTCTTTTGCTCTGAGCTCTAAGCTCTAAGCTCTCTGTCCCTCTATCTCTCTCTCTGTTCTAGCTCTGAAATACAGCCCTAGGTAAGAAGTAAAAACCATCTTAGCAACCCTTGTTCTTTTATTCATATTTTTGGTGTATTCTTTAGAACTAATAAGCTTATATAATCCCTTTTGTTCTTGGTATTCTCTATGGAGAACCAACAAGCCACTTAAGCTCATCTTGTGTTCTTCTCGAGTGTTAGGCTAACTTGGTGTGGTTGTGGGACTGTAGGAGCATAATCGTAGAGCATTCTATTAATATAGAATAATATTATTGTTGCTTCTAGGAGAATCCTTACAATTTTTTTTGTCATAACCTTTGTATTTAATAAATTGCAAGCAGGGCCATTGTGCGCTGTGAATTGTTATAATCACAACTTGTTTTCTTTCTGTTTGTAATTTCTTATTGGGTAACAATTTCAATGACCGAGTGTAATTCCTTTCTGTTTCTAATTTGTTTCGTAGAAAATAGTGCTGTATAATCGAAGGGCGCTATGAGGTTGGAGAAATGCTGGTTCTGTTCCTCCACCGTGTATCCTGGACATGGGATTCAGTTCGTTCGTAATGATGCAAAGGTAGGAACTACTCTTTCATGTAATTTCCATACACTTGTGATTTATCATCTAAATGTTATTCTAAGTAACATATATTACCTGCAGATGTTTGGTCCTGTTTATCAAATTTAAATGTTAATTTGAAAACATAGTTTTCAGAGTCTGAAAATGTTAGTATTCGTTGCATTCCTGAATCTATGGTCAACTGCTATCTAATGTGCTGTTCGGGGGTTGGGTTGATATAGGGAAGTATTAGGGAGCTTAGAGTGGTTTGCATGGTTACATAGGGATGCAATTTTATATGAAGCTCCACAAATGAGATTGACACTGAGGATGAATCAATTTCTTTGGCAGTCAGGTTGTGTGGTCGTTTCTTTATTCCTTGTGGTTTGAATGTGTCTTGAATGATGGCTTTTAATGATGTTCATGTGTATGGGATTTTCTAGTTCACCAATGTCGAAAGAAATTATCTAACACTTCATTTCGATATTGATTGTGAAATTGCATTGCTGTGTCAGAAGAAGAAGTGCCATTTAGGACTAAGCTTGCCTTTACATTATGTCTGTTTAAGGAAACATCATGGGCAGCTCAATTCCCTGACAACCATTTCTGTTCTAGATTTTTCGATTTTGTAGATCCAAATGCCACAAGAACTTTAAAATGAAGAGGAATCCTCGCAAGGTAAAATGGACTAAGGCCTATAGGCGGTTGCGTGGGAAGGATATGACACAGGTGAACAAACTTACTTTTTCTTAATCTAATCGTGCTCATATTACTATTTAATATTGGGTCTTTGGAAGGCTAAGGGTATATTCTGTTAGCCTTATATCATTCTTTGCCACTTTTTGTAGGACTCGACCTTTGAGTTTGAGAGAAAGCGAAATAGGCCTGAGAGATATGACAGGAATCTTACAGCAAACACTCTGAAGGCCATTAAGAAGATCGATAAAGTTAGAGTCGATAGGGAGGCCAGACACCACGAGAAGAGGTACTTTCCTCTGCTTCATTGTTATCTACAGGAAAAAACAATAATAGGTGTTTTTGGTTTTCATATATTAAGATATTTGTTGAAAAACTTGAGCAGGATGAAGGGCAAGAAGGCCAAGGAGCATAGGGAGGCAGCAAAAGAGTTGGAACAGAGCATCAGCTTGGTCAAAGCTCCAAGTGTGCTACAACAAGATCCATCGTTCAACTTACCGATCAAGGTCAAGGTTTCTCAACAGCAGCCCGACAAAAGCCTCGCCATGATGGAGGAGTAATTTTATAGTTGGATGTTCGTTTTCTACGTTTCATTATTTTGGTGTGCTTTAGATTGTTGTATTTGAGCTTTTTTCCCGAAGTTTCATTAACTGTAATTTTGACTTATATTGGAGACATCATGAACTTCATAGATTTATGTTTAACAAGTGATTGCGGAAAAAAGAGATTGTGATGGGCATCTTTTTGGAAATATAAAATTTATCATGGCAAGTATGATTCACATGCATATCTTAGTCATCTTCATTTTAAATTTTAAATTTGTGCGCTGGATCAATATCATGCATATCTTATCATGGCAAGTATGATTCACAGAGGTAGTCAAATGTTCACGCCAACGAAGAAAATGCTTTAGAAATCAACTCTTCAATATAACACGCATGAACATTGACAAAATAAAAGCATAAAAAATACATTGATAAAATAAAAAACCATGTAGGGGGTCAGTTTAAATAATGAAAGGAAAATGCTAAGCTTACTATATTTTTATACGACATTGTGTAACACATATCTAATAGAGATGGAGCCCTAGTTGCAGCAGTATATACAATATCATTATGGATATCACAAGTAACCATAGTGTATATAATTTCCCAAAAGCTATTTGTTCTTTCTATTGTTATCCTTTTCTTCTTCTCAATTGCATTGTAATATCGAGGGTCGTGGCAGCTATTTATTCAATGGAAATTGTAAGAGGTGTTTCGTTTCCATCATGAGACATTGTTGCGTTACTCATTTGCATCCATTGGACAGGTACTGGTCCCTGGACATGAAAAGGAAGGTGGACTGGTGGATATATGTTTGAGCCTAAATTCCACACGTCAACTCAATTGACATTGGCTCATATCAAAAGCAGGAGTTTTGGGCTTCGTTTCAAAAGACAGAGATCAGCCCAGATGGTTTTGGAGGCCCAGACCCTTGTAAACCAATTAGAAATGATTAAATTCACAAATTAAAGATTAATTGCCATTGAATGGTGATTTAATCTAGACAAGTCAGTTGCTAATTGATTTTAAGATTAGGCCTAGTTTCAAATATCTCCAAAAGCCCAATAAATTTGATCATCACCGTTGATCTCAATTCAAATCAACAAATATTTTGGAAGATCTTTTTCTCATAAGAAGGCCCATGTGACTTTGAAAGTCAAAGTTTTCAACTGAGGCAGATGAAGTGATGGGGAGTTATGAAAATAGGTTAACCAAAAGAAAACTCTCCATATACATTTTAAAAAGCTAGAAAAATGGGGCCGCCAAGTTTCCTTTCTATACTCATAGAGGGCTCTACATTATAACAAGATGTGTTTTTCAAGAAATAAACAAGAGACTTGAGAGTTGTTTGCCAAAAAAAGCAAACAGATCGTCATAGAAGCTGACTGTTGATGGTTCTTTTTTGCCAGAATAATAACTCACCCCTTTTATGGCATCGGAAAAGGAAAATCCTTTTAAAGGATCTGCCCACCAAATATTAAAGATTAAAACCCTCATTCAAAGTTCTCTATCAATATGAGAGGAGGTGAACAGGTTGGGAGACAGCCAAAAAATCAATCAAAAACAAAAACTCTCAAAGTTATATTGAAAAACTAAAAGCAAGATCATTCGATCACAAAAGCCTTTAGACTATAAAGCAACCAAGTCATTTGGTTTGAAAATTCACCCAGCTCCTAAACAAAACAGACAAAACTCAGACTTCTGACTCCAGTTCCTAAACAAAACAGACAAAACTCAGACTTCTGACTCCAGTTCAATTCAGGGAATCAATTCACAAAGGAAATGAGACTTCTCTCGTTACAAATTTGGTTCAACTTAAGCCAAATCAAGCAGAACAGGTACTGTGGTGCAGCTCCAAGTTTAGCAATCATCAATCCAGCCACTTTCAATCCCATCCAGACTGAAGAGGCCTCAATTTTGCCCATCCAACAAGCCTCTCTATGGCTTAAACAGATTAAAGCTCTGCCAATCTCAAACATTGGTATCGATTTCCAACTGAAAACCATCAATTGAAGGTGCTGACGTTTGAATCCAGCATAGATACATCCAATCCAGCCTGAGTTAAAGGTAGCCACCCAAGCAAAAATCGAAGCCCAACGCTTTGTCGTCCTTTCGGACTTAGCAGTTCTCTTTTTAAGTTGTGTAATATGCAGTTCTTCTTAAACAGTTTGATTTCTTTCTAATATTCATTCTGGCCAGAACTACAAGTGTTTACTATGAAAAATTGTGAAGTCCTCACCAGTCTGAGGCAAGAAAAGAACTTACTTGGGAGATATTTCTCACCCAAATTCACAATCATTTGTTTAGAGTCAGTAAACTTGGTGCGCAAGTTATCTTTTTTTTTAAAGTCTATTAGGGTTTTTTTACTGCTAGCAGTGGCACGCTCATACACAAAAGAAAATTAACTTGTTGACCACTGATGGTTTTCAAGTCAATGGGGAATTTTACCTTGTCGTCACATGATTAAATCAAAACAGGTGAACAATATCATACATGTTCTAGATACTTGCCTTGAGATTCCACAGTTGGGAGTTGTTAGATCTCTTAACGTTCATGTCAGCGGCGCCATTGCTCTGTGGGAGTATACTCGACAGCAGACATCCCGATAGGTTTTTGTTTCTAAAAGCCATACGTGTTCTGTTTGGTTATACACAAGGAAAACCTGTTCAACCGAAGACTTAAGCAGCTTTTAACAGTCAATTTTGCAACACAGAATTCAGAGGCAGTTGTCTCATTGTCAACTAAAAAATGTTGTTCGTGGGAAGAAAAAAGGAATTCAAAGATGGGATGTAAAGGGGGGACAAATTAGCATGGAAAATGGTCAAGACCTGCTTATATTTTGAGTGGTTAAAGAATGGGAGGAATGTGGTGTGTTAAAACGCATGAATCTGTAGGTCTTCGGCTGCTCACTCATTGTACCAAATTTTTCTGCCATGGAAGATTCCATGAGGTTCTTTACACCCTTAAGTAGACCCTGAAAAATCATCACTTAGCTTATTGTGAATTCTTATCTCCTCTAAATTGTTGTACAATATTCGGAACTTGGGATTCCGTCGCCGCTTCTCTTTGTAATTTCCCAAAAGCTATTCTTGTTAAGGAAAGAGCGATGAGCCAAAAAGCCGATATTCACTGGCTTGTTTACAAGAAAAAATGGTCTTTGTCAAAAAAACATTACATGGGTTGTTAACTTGAAGTTTCACTTTCGCTAGATGAGAACACCTTGGAAAAAACCAATATTTTAAAAGGTGAGGCGTAGAGACGAGGCGTTTTTAGTCTGCTATGTGAGGCGTAAGCCTTGAAGCAGTGAGGCGTAAGCGTTTTGAACATTAATTTAATTTAATAAAAAAAATATATAAATAATACAATATAGATAAATTGTACTCCTGATTCTTATTGAGCCAAAATATTCTATCAAATATAAGTATTAATTGTCATTTAAGCATAATAATCAATGTCAAAACATAAAATACTTATTCAACATAAAAAAGAAAACTCAATTCATGCATCCCACTCCTCATCACGAAACATCTAAAGCTATGATATTTGGCATTTATGTGTGGACTTAGTGTTATTTTTAGTGGATTTTATGGATATTGTGTTGTTTGGAAAATAAAAACATATTTTATATATATATATATCTAGTACAAATTTAAAGAGAATTGCATACTTAAGAAGAGAGAGGCTTCAACTTATGGAGAGAATTCAAATTGATGCAGATTATCGCATTAGGATATACATATAAGTCCACTAATGTATTTATTTAGAAGGGAAAAAAAAAAGGGAAGTATGGCATTAGGCCTTCTCCAACCCATGAGGAACTAAACCCAAATTTTCCCGGTCCAAAAAGTGACTATTTGGGTTTTGCCCGAACTCAAATTGTTTTTTCTCCCAACCCTCCGGACTCAAATTTTAAGTCCGCAACTTTATTAAATTGTTTAAGAATGGTTTAAGTCTAATTTTTTTGTTTTTATGGAAAACCTTTCTTCATTAATCTTTTTAAATAATGTCATAATTTAATTGTTTGAACAATTTGACCTAAAAAAAAAAATTTAAATTCCATAAATTTAATATTATTCCAAAAGTAAACACACAACATAAAAAAAAAACACACAAGATAATTGAAACACAAAAGGAGGATTGAAACAATTGTTGACCTCATTCACCATCTCCAAAGCTCTTCCAAAGGTGATTGATCAAATCATGTCGGAGACTCTGATGCACATGTGGAGATCGAACTCTATTATGACGAATCATGTAATCAGAGAGAGTCTGCCGATCTTGGTAGTACTCGTATGTAATGCTTGGCTCCAACTCATATTGTCTTGCTCTGGCCCTCCTGGATCGTTGTGGACACATATCCTCATCATCATATTCCTCTTCAACATATTCGTACTCATCCTCCACAATCATGTTGTGCAAAATTATACACGTCATCATGATTGAGTGAAGGTTATCCTTGCACCACATACGTGCAGGGCCCCGAACAATAGCCCATCGAGCCTGTAGTATTCCAAATGCTCTTTCAACATCCTTCCTGTACGCTTCTTGCATTTGTGCAAAAGCCTCTTCTTTAGGTTATCAGGAGAAGAGATGGTCTTTACCAAAGTAGCCCAACTTTGGGTCCTTCATTTTCTTGGGTTGGGGGAGGTTTTGGACAATAATTTGGGTTTAGGTCTTTGGGTTGGAGATGACCTTAGGGATATACATATAGGTCAGGCCCAAAAAAAAAAAAAAGAGTTAGATATAGGTCTATATGTTAAATATATTGTTTAAAAAAAAATAAACACTAAAAAATGATTTGGATGCTTATCAAACGCACGTTCCTTTTAAAACGGGTGCTTTAAAATCAAAACGAGGCGTTCAACTTAGTTTTGGACTATGTAACGACACCGTTTTATTCCGAAAAAAAAAACTAAAAAAGACACACGCAGTTGTCTTCTTCCTCGCTCAGATGCGCTTCACCGACCCAGCGGCGCTTCACCGACCCAGCGGCGCTTCACAACGCCTCCCTACGCCTTGCCGTCGACGCGCACGCTAAGCTTGCAAACAGCTAAACAAGTAAACGCCTGAGGCGATTCGCTACCGCCTCGCTCCGATGCGAGCTCCGATGTGAGCTCCGACACGCGCCTACGCATGCCTTTGAAAACATTGGAAAAAGCTTGCTTTTGCACCTGAAAGGTTTTGAGTTTAGATTGAATTTTCAAAC